GCAGGAACACGGACTGGCGCTCTCAGATACTTGGCTAATACTTCCTTTGGCAAGAGAGGGGTCAGTTCAGTTACCATGGTTGATGCATGGAGGCATTTTCCTTCAGGTCAAACTGGCAACTGCCTTAGGGTTTTTCTTCCACCTTCTTCTTCGTCAGAGCCCTTGCTCCCCACGGCGATTGTCTGGACATATTTCTAGCCAGTCAATTCCTGCCACTGTGAGGACCTCGGGCACTGGCAGCACCTCAATCTCTCCTGTGTTCTGTCTCAAGCAAATAAACCATTTTGTTTTCACAAGACTGAAAACTGTTAGTTTACTTCAGGTCTCTGAGCAAAACACAGAGGGTCATCTATTTGAAACTTAATGACCTGTGAAGTAGAGAAGGTCGATCAAATGACCATCTCCATTTTCTAGAAAACTAAAAAGCAACTGTATATGTTAGGATTTGTTTCAGCTTTATATACATACATGAGGAATGTCAGTATGTCATTTTTAACATTTCCTCTGTTGTAATAGTACCGTACAGTTATACTGTTTTGAAGAGTTATGCTAACCTCTCAAGTTACCGAAAGCATTAGCCAAGGATATCTGGCAGAATGAAACTTTCTAGGAAACTGTGTTTCATTTAAATCCAGGAGCAAACTGTGAAGCAGATCACTTTTAAAGATCGATGTCCATTTTTTAAAAATGCCTCTTTAATTATAGCTAGCCTAAAACGTTATGACCATTAGTGTTCAGTTTTAGTGTCTATGTAAGCCTGCAGTAAGGCATGACAACAGATTACTGCAGCAGCAGGTAAATCCTCCTTTGTTTCTTTTGTTAAAAAATACTGCTACTTACAGAAATTTTATATAGATGTACAGAAAATACTTTTTTTTTTTAATTGCCCAAAGTCATCTCCTTTAGGTCATCCACGCTACTGGTGTGGAATTCACTGAACAGGCAAGAAATCCAGTATGAACCAGAATGTACTGGTCAAACAATCCACATAACTAGCACACATACCAGTAGGTCACACAGTAAGTCTGAAGTAAAACGAAATTCAAAAAAAAAGTCATTAGAGACTGAGAAGTCATTAGCCTTTGGCTTTCTCTGCTACATGATACTGTTTCCACTCTGGAAGTATTAGTGTAATACCTGAATGTTGCTCGCATCTGTTCTCAAGGAGTCCAAAGTGACAGGACCAGGATACCTGCCTGTGCCACACTGCTCCCCAGACAGGACTTTCACAAATTTATTAGGTTTTTTTGTTCTTGATTTCTTTTTTATTAACCTCATTATATTTTATCTATCCACTTTCTTGCCCCACGATGTTTTTCATGGAACTATGTCACAATCATTGAATTTTCTTTGTCTGCGGAGAAAGATTTTACTATTCCCACACTCCAAATTAAGTAGGACTGTAAAATCGGAGCTGAGACTCTGCAACAGTCCAGCCTTTGGCTTCTCTACTGTAACCGATAAAGATAAACTGCTTTTCCAACTTCTGTTTGAATTGGCTGCTACTTTCAACACAGATGAAATCTGACAGGAGTAATCAGGTTTTAAAAACATTTCTTCAACTCCAGCAGGCAAGAACATTTTTCAGAAAGAGTCCTTTTTTTTCTTTTGGAGATTGAGGATTAAACATACCTTAAAAGGAAGGAGCAGGAGGAGAGAATAGCAGTGTGTATATGGATGAAAGTCAGCTGAAAATTAATCGTTTTACATACCATCATCTTTTTATGATCTGGAAACTCCAGGCCAAAATAGTCGCCTTCAACAAGGTTCAGGTGGTTGCAAACAGCATCATGAAGAACTTTCCCTGGAGCTCTTTGCTGTAAGAGGAAAAGAAAGCCTAGGGTTACAAAGATGCTTTTAATTAGTAGCAGAAAAGTTACTGTGCTGAGAAATGGTTCAGCAAACACCATTGTCAAAACAGTTTACAAAATCAGTAGATATTCCAACCACACCCACAGGGCAGCTGACAATAACACTAGTTTTAAAACTACAAAAAATATCCATCCATCCCTGGATGGCAGCTCAGAATCCATCTTTAGTGCATTTTTATTTTTGAGGGAAAAATATTATGAAATCAAAATGGTAGAAGACGGGGACTTGGGATATAGTTTTCTTACATCTGACATGTAAATGTGCAATGCAGTAAGGTGCCGGTCTCTAGGCTATACTGCTACTATGAATTTCGAAAGACAGCTATTTCATCCCATGGCCCTTCAAGCCATGTCAGGTGGTGCTATGTACAGCTGTGTGCAACCTAGTGAAACCAAAACATTCACCGACAGACCTGTCATACAAAACACAAGGGGCTGAGGGTTTGCTGGACACTGCTTGATATGCCACAGGCTCAAGTCCTGGGTTCTACCTTCATACAGGCTTATCCTGAGCCTCCCACTGTCAGGTGCTGAGGCTGGTCAAGGCCTGTCTGTGCTACCCTAACAGAGTTGTTGAGTAATTCAGAGGAATCAAGAGCAAGCATTTCCTTCCACACACTGAAAGTCTTCCCTCTATAAAGACCAGATGTTCTAGTCCAATATTAGCTCCCAGAGCCAGCGCTTTGCTGATTGTAAGGATTCTTCTCATCAGCACATCAGTTAAATCCACACCTGCAGCAAATACTGTGAATTACAGCTCACCAGCAAGTCTTCAGCAAAAAGCACTGTTTCTGTATAAAAAAGCCAATCAGTGAAATCAAATATTTTTGTTCCTTGGACAAATGCACCTATTTTAGCTCAAGAGGCCCTGAAACACAGTTCTCCACTCACTTCAGAACAAATAATAACCCATTAAACTGCACAAACTCCACTGTTACAAGAGACCCATCACAGCCCAGACAAGTGCCTTTGCATTCAACCTACACATTGGCCCTTTCCTTATCTCCCCAGTAAATAATCACTAGAGCAAAATAAAACAGCAGTAACAGAGCCAACAAAAGTAAACCGTTAGAGGCAGGCAGTCCGGTCAACCTGGCTCAAACCTGAGCCTGAGTCTAGGTCTCAGCATCTCCAGGCAGTGGAGGGCAGCATGCTACTTGCTGGAGGGCACCCAGCTCACACCCATGCCCTCCCAGATGTGTCACCAGAGAGTTTGGTCTCTATTTCACCGGGATACCAAAAAACAAATCCCCTGTTTTTTTCCACCTAGCGCAATACCCGGTTTCCAGCCACAGCCCTAAGTACAAAGCATCTTTCCAAAGGCAATTTACCTAACATTGTCTAATATGAATTCTTAAAAGTACCCAGTAGCAAGGCTTACACCAAAGAAAGTAAAAGGATGACAATTTTCTGGGGAAGGCACAGGATATATGTGCCACCACAAGCGGTGCTGTCACCCCGGTGATGCAGGACATGATGACCAAACCCTTCAGCGCTGGCTGGTTTTGAAAGTCGGAAGGGAAATGCCAAGCTCACCTCTGCAGGAACTTGCTGAGCAAGTTGTTACCCAACATACTCCCAGTGCCTCTAACAGACCTATGGCATCAGGAAGCAATGTTCACTTAGATTATTTTATTCACTGTTTGTTAACATTACCTGTAGCAGCAAATACTAGCCTCAGGAATACTGTCAGAAAAAGATCAAGAACGATTGTAGGTAGGAGTACTAGTTTTATTAAGCATTCATCATAACCAACCTTGCAGTAAACTGAAGTAATTCATACCAAAATGCGAAATAGAACAGAGAAGATACATATACTGTGTATCTGTACTATGTATCTGCTGTACTATGGCCCTCCTATAGCGTAGGCTTTTCCCGGTGCATTTACATGACCATCATGAAAGTCTTGTACACTGGGATGAGGGAAGGTCATCAACAGATACAGAGAATTCAAGGAAAAAGACATCTATTTTTCTAGACAGAGCGCTTTTGATCTGATGTAATGCCATCCAAAAAACTCTCAAGTGCAAATGTACTGGAACACACTCACTTCATATTCTCCACCTTCATTAAACCAAAAGCATCCCCAAGGACCACCGCCCAGCCCGTGCCCGCCGTCGCGTCTCATGTGTCAGATCTCACAGAAAGCTTCCCATGTTTTCCACTCCATCTATTGCTGTACGTAGGCACATCCAAACATTCATCATCTCTTAATGAAAGAGCTTCCCAGGAAGTGCATTTTGTTTGAGGCAAGAGATTAATATTAAAAAGACATTAGATCAAGTGTAATAACAATATTAGTTTACTGCTCCGAAAATACACCTACAAATGATTTAGAAACTTCAGGCAAATGCTCCTGCTCCCAGACTAGTCTCAGGCCTCCCCAGTTTGGCTGGGGCCACTAGAGAGTGGAAGGATGTGTTTAACCACCACCGTTGCAGCAAGGAGCAGAGGATATTTGCTTTCATCCAAGTGCACAACCAGAAAAATGGAAACGTGCCTGTGCATATGTATGTATATGCCTTACTAAAGTACCCGACGGACTCCTGTCTGACAAAGATGAAACTTCATCGTTCCTCCTGTGAAAAAAAGGTGTCTCTGGGAGAATGGAGATTTTGACCAACAGGAAAAAACAGGCAGAGAGCCCACTTGCATTAACACACCGCCCACGGTTAGCTGAGGAGAGCAAGCCTGTCTGATCTCAGACCATGAGTAAAAGCATCTGATTAAAACCTGCTGAGTGTTTTCATAAAGTTTTTTTCTTACAGGCGTTTAGACGATGGAGTGGCAGTTTTGTAGCATTTATGTCACTTGGCATTTTCTCTGGAGTGTGCCTCGGTAACATAAAATGCTTCTTACTCAAGTATTTGCAAATAAGATTATTATTCTGAACTCATCTTAGCTTTGATCTGTCTACCTCAAGATAAAATCTGACAGTTTATTCACAGGAGACTCTGCACATATAAAATCTGCTGCGATTTAGAGCCTGATGATGCTCTGTTCTTGCAGGACCAGAAGGAGAAGTACAACGTCCACAAATGCAGGAACTCTCCCATCTCACAGAGATGTTGATTCAGTGCAGTTCCATGACATCCCTACTAAAAAATTTAAACACAACAAATTAAAATCTCAGTCTGCTGGGTATGGAAGCAAACCAGCAGTCACTCAGGTCACAGCAAACATGAGCTGACAGAGGAAGCATTCAGGAATGAGTGCACCACACCGATGACATCATCTGCAGCCAACAGTCTGACTTGAGCGTGGTTACAAGGCCTATGGGACAACACAAGATTTCCCCAGAACTTGGAAGATGTTTTCCAGCCATCAAGTGTGGCCCCGCTGCCATGCCTCAGACAGCGAGCACAAGGCAAGCTTCATCAGCTCACACCCCACAGCGCTGCGGCTGCACCCATGTCCCATGAGCCACAGCTTGGACGCTTTCCCTGCTCCACAGTGGCACAGGTCTGATTTGTGGGGGCCCATGAGACGCCCAAAATAGCTATGCATGCATTTAAGGTTGCAGGGTGGGGAAAGGCTGTACTATGGCCCTCCTATAGCATAGGCTTTTCCCGGTGTATTTACATGACCATCACGAAAGCCTTGTATACTGGCATGAGGGAAGGTCATCAATGTGGAGGACATGGAAAAGGAGAGCCGGGAGACCTTTCACCTGCTCTCCCTGAGCATCACCAAATGAAAGCTTGCACCCAGGAGGGAAAAAACAGACCCAAAGGTAAAGATCGAAGGAGGATGAGGCATGCAAGTGGGACATTGATATGGAAGCTGCCCCCATGAAGGCTGGTGGCAAGACCATACCTCCAGGCCATTTGCTACCGCAGATGCCACACTGTAAGGCAGTGAGGGAACAGAAACAGGAGGGTACGCTATACGCGTGGAATACAACTGGGGGAAGATCACACGCAACACCCAGGAGCTTGCCAGCAGCTGCAGCAGGTGTCAGTCCCCTGCTCCTGTTTTTGTTGACAGCCAGATTCTTGTATAATCAATGAAGAAATATTGCAGCTCCAGAGGGCAATTCTTCCCATCCCAAAGCTATGAACTTTTCCTTAGCAATACAGTTGTACTCTTCTACTCTTGATGACAAAGAGCCCAGACACCCGTGTTACAGGGTTCACTTTAGATGAGGTGATTCCCAGCCATACTGACAGCAGGGAATTACTATTATTCTCTTCAGGTGGTATTTAGTTACACCAAAATAACATTATAAATTTATTGCAGTGAAAAGCAGCTCACTGATTTCCAGCCACACATCCTTATTGCTTACTGCATTTTGAGTTGGCCTTTCACTTAGCTCTGTGAAATCACATTTTAAAAGTCATTTTACATTTTCAGGGAACATCAGGCCACTAAGTTCTAAATTATGAATAATGTGCATCACCACATTTAGCTGCAAGCTATGAAGGTACCCAAAGTAGCCTGCTGTACGAATTGTGCATTCAACATTTGCTGTCTGCTCATTATTTCAGTCCTACTCAATTCACCCTCCCTCTACTCCCACCAAAATCCAAAACAGTATGTTGTTTATAAACTTCCAGTAGTGAATATTTTAAAAGGTTCAACAAGTCTTTCATGTTCTAGCAATTGCCAATCATTTAAAAAAAACCTCCCTCTACATACTTGTTTAGACCGTTCTTTGGCACAGACTGCAATACAGATTTTTAAAAAAAGAAAGTGCATAGTAGTATCTGGAAGATATCCAGGACTTCAAAAGAAGTGGGTTTGGACACATTCCCCCACTGCCCAGTTAATTTAGCAATTATTTCACTAATCATCTACCAAAGAGAAAAAAGTGTCTGTTTAGGATCAAATAGTGATTTTACCATTTTTTATTTGTCTAGCCAACTAATCTCAGATCCCAGACTGAACAGGTCTTTAATTGGAAGGTTTTTGTTTGTTTGTTTCTTTTTACATTACTGAGCAGTAAT